TTACTATCCACGAAGACGATTTGGATAAAGTTTATGGATATACTTATTTGAGAAAATGGCGGGAAGGACTGCTGAAATTTGGCCATGAGATAGGCGACTGGAGACTGGTGGGACACCCTGTGTCCCAGCACTTGGGAAGTGAAACTTCCCAACTGGAAGAGAAGCACACTATAACATTACCAACCCAACCATATAAGTATAAGTTTAATGAATTACCTGAAATACCGAAGATTAAGAATATTAATATGTCTATTGAAGATGAATGGAATACTGAAAGCATTTGTAAAAAAGTTATTAAACAAAATCCAGTAATTATTAGGGGTAAATTTCCGGGCACAGGCAAGAGTTATATAGGTCAGTATTTCCAAAAGATGAATAATAATGTATTATTTGTAGTGCCTACCAACCGACAACTACAAGAAATACAAGATAAAGGAATAGAAGCAACAACATATAACAAGTTTTTTAGCATTGCCGTTCATGAAGATGTCGGAGAGAAATTACCAATTTATGATTATTCGCCTTATGATGTAAAAGTGTTTGATGAGATTTATATGTTGAATTTATACACTTTGAATAAAGTTTGGCAGTTTATGAAAAACAACACTCATATTATCAGAATTGCTACTGGCGACGTGAAACAATTAGAAGGGGTGGAAACCATGACAACCTGCCAAGACCCCGCAACATGACCCCGCAACATACATTGACAACTGTATAGACACAATGTTTAAATATAATATTTTCTTAAAAATATGTAAGAGAGTAGGAGCAAAGGACAGCGTAGAAGGAGAAAGAAACAGAAAAATATTAAATGATATGTATAATGACTGGTGGGAAAACAACATTCCACGCAAAGAGTTTATGCTTAAATACAGTTATTTAACCGATGACATCATGGCATCAGAGCATAATATCGCTTATACCAATATGAGATGCGAAAATGTAGCAAATGAGATTAGAGACAGATTAAACATAAGTGAGAAATATGTAGTGGGTGATATTTTGGTTGCCAGAACATGGATTAAACAACCAAGGGTTAATATCAATTTGAGATACAGGATTACAAAGATAGAAGATGATGAATTAGGGAAGCAAATAACATTACAGAATATAGCAAGACAAGAAGATGAGTTTATGTTGTCTGAACCTATTGTAGATAAAAACTTCATCTATCCTTACTGTGCTACTTGTCATTCAAGCCAGGGGTCAAGCGTAAAGGAAAGCATAACTATTCACGAATGGGACTTACCCATAACCAGCAGAGAGTGGATATGGACGGCATTGACTCGCTGTGTTGATTTTAGGAAAGTTAAATTTTATTGTAATCCAGACTTTGATAAGCAAATGGATAAAAATATGATAATGAGATATTTTAAAAACAAAGTAGAAAATTATAAGATACAAGACAGGAGGGCAAAGAGAGAGATAACCGAAGAAGAATACATAAGCGCTGAATGGTGTTTATCACAGTTTCGCGCCAGATGCCAAAAGTGTAATACTTCATTTAACTTTGAAGCGAAGAAAGGTAAATTATGTAGCAATTTTACTTGTCAGCGCCTTGATAATTCAATCGCTCACCATATAGATAATTCAACTTCATTCTGTGTATATTGTAATGTTTCAGCTCATTAAGATTTTAATATTTTTTATATTAAAATCTTAGTTTTAGACTAAAAAAGGTTTAAAGAAATAATACCTATATATAGTAGAGAGTAATGAAGGAACAAGAAGTAAATAATTATATCAATAAGAAATGCTATGACTGTTGCCACTTCAAAAAAGAACATATGGAATTATACAAAATGAATTTACCTAATGGAATAGTTAATAATATTATTGATTATGCTTTGGGTGAAGAAGATGAATGTAAAATTTGTCAGGAATGGAGAGATAATCAAGAATTAATCAGATGTCATTTAAATCTGAAAAGAAGACATAATAGAAATGTTGAAGACGACATTATAATATTTTTAACTGTGTATGAAAGACCACCTTATAGTTATGTTAGAATATTTCTCAAAATCGGTAAGAAAAAGTATGACATGATTAACCATATATTATGGATGTTGTTGAATCGTAGGAAAGACGGGTCTGATTTAAAAGGAGACATTAAATCATATATTGAAAGCAACAAGTTTAATGTGAAAAATACCGTGAGAGATATCAATATTATTTTTGAACTGATGCATGACAGACGTAAGATATATACACAATTTAATAATCATCAATTAACTTATTATCCTGAATTTAAATTATAAATAATATTATCAATATAATAAATCTTAATTTATTATATGGATAAACAAAAAATAATTAGTGATATTTACTATGACAAAAGCGGATACGGTAGTAAAGCAATAACTTTGAAAGATTCCAGACAGAAAGATAAAACTATTACTATGAGTGATGTAAATGAATTCTTTAAAAATAATATTGAAGAGAAAAGAAAACCAAGAGGGCAAAATAGTTTTGTTGCTCCTCATGCCTTCTGGGAATTTCAGTTAGATTTGTTTTTTATTTCAAAAAATGATTTGGAAAATCAAAAGTTTAGAATTGGATTAATATTAATTGATATATTTAGTAAATATGCTACTGTAATACCTATTGCAAGTAAGCAACCGCCAGATGTATTAGCAGGAATTATGGAAGGCATTAAGAAAATGGGCGGAAAAGCCAAAATGATATACAGCGACGAAGAAGGCAGTTTGTTTAGTTCTACCATTACAGATTATCTTGATGAGGAAAAAATTGAATTACACACCACGAGAGGCCACCCTGCTTTTGGAGAAAGATTTATTAGAACCTACAAAGATATGCTTTTTAAAAGAGTTGATGCGGATGAAAAGAAAGGTAAAAACAATATACAATGGATAGATTACAATTTAGAAATATTATTGACATATAATAATAAATTAGTAAGTTCCGTTACGAAAATGACACCATTAGAAGCAAGGAAGAAAAAAAATGAGTTTGAAGTGAAACTGAATATATCAATGAATGCCAGAAAAACCCGTGTGTATCCTGATTTAGATGTAGGGGACAAAGTCAAGATAATGAGAAAGAAAGCGATTAGTGAGAAAGAGAGAACCAGTCATTATTTGAAAACTATTCACACCGTAACTAAAACAGAAACAAAGTTAGGGCAGAAATATTATTCTGTTAGTGATTTTCCCAAACCTCTATTGCGACATGAAATGTTGAAATTATAGTTTTAGACTAAAAAGGTTTAAAGAAATAATACCTATATATATTAGAAAGATAATGAGTGATACTGAAAGTGAGAATGATATGTATAAAATTGAAACCTTTGATGATTTAGAAACAGCAAAACAACAAGTATTAAGTAATTATGTGTGTAAATGTTGCGATGTTTATTTTTGTAAAGATTGTGCTAAAACAAATGCCAGATTAAAAATGTCATCAAAATCATTACCTATTGATATTATACAGAACATTTCAAATAATATCAGATGTAAGAAATGTGAAGAAATGATATGTATAATAAAACACCGAACACGATATGGATATGACAATGACAACTTTGATTTATATAGCATCAAATTAGCATATTATATTGATTTAAACGGTGATGATTTACCAACGATTGAAGACTTACAAAGCATACCGAAATTACAGCATTTAAGCAACATACATTACAAAGTTTTGGTAATTTTATATTGGAACATCAACCATGAAAAACAATGGAAGCACTGGAAAAGAAACACCATGAATTATTTTTGGGATACAAACGGCGAAAGTATGGAAGATGCTTATGATGAGTTTAATGACTTGTTCAAAGAGTTGATTGACATTTTACATTATATTGACATGAATGAGGATGAGAGACATAATATACTTTACGGTCATTGTTTTGGTATGGAAATTGCTGACAAATTAAATGAAGTTTTCTTCAATGAAGACAGTGAAACCGAAAGTGAAGGTGATGAGGTGAGAGAAGAATTTGAATATATAAGCGATTTCCAGTTGTAAAGTTTTTGCTGGTGAAAAAATCCGATTTTGGTAATCTTTACTGTTTAATTATATTATCCTTAAATAATATAATTGAATACATACAATCCCGAGTGAGTTAATCTGTGAGTTGTTGTCGGGTTTATGTAATTGTCTATTGTATGGTTTGTTGTTTGGTTTTTTGTTTGGTTTGTTGTTTGGTGGTTTTTTTCGGGACAGGTGGCTTACCCAGACCTTGATATTTATTATGCCTAAAACCATTTAAAGGGTAGAATGCTTTTTATAGTAGAAGATTATGGAAAGGAAATATTGCTCGTGTTGTGGATGTCATAAGGATGGAAATGTATTTACCGATAGTTGTAAAACTTGTGATAGATGCCGTGAAAGGCAGAAAAAGAAAGACCAAAGAAAGAGACTGAAACAAAACGCAGTCAAGCAACAGAAAGAAATAGAAGAAGGAGAAAAACAATATTGTTCACATTGTAAAGTTCATAGAAAGATTGAATTATTTTCAGAAAATCATAAAACTTGTGATTTGTGTAGAGAAAAAACGAAAATCTACTCGCAAACATGGAGAGATAATCATAAAGAGGAGATAAGCGAAATAAATAAAGAATATGGCATGAAAATATTTGTGTGTTCTGTTTGTGATTGCGAAGTCAGATTGAAACATAAGGCGAGGCATGAAAAAACAAAGAAGCATATTGAGAATTTAAAAAAGAATGAGGTTGAGGATAGTTGAAATGGTTTAAGTTATTCTAGAAAAATGAATAACTTGAAACATTTTATGAATTATTATATGGGATTTGGTGAGTGGATTGATATTTGGAAACATGTTTAAGCTTTTTATGTGGATTTGGGCGGTGCGTTGATAAATGCTGTTGGGCGGGTTTGGAAAAGAGGGTAGATGAGGTCTGGGTATGCTACCGCTTGCTAACACCCCCCCCGATGAATGAACTGGGGTTGATTCATGTCGGGAGTATACCCCAGGGCCAAAGGAAAGAACGAGGTCACCAAACGAGCCTCAGGTACTTGACCCCCGACTTTTGGTGCGAGGACGCTTCGTTCGCAGCGAAACGACTCGGACGCCGAAGCCGATCCGTCGATTTGCTTGGCGGGGAAGTGAGTTGCCCCGGTTTTTACCCCTGTCTCCCCCGTTTTTGGGGAAAGGACTTCCCTCGAAGGTCAACCCACCCCCAAAAAACGTTGGGCCTCGCTTTCGCAGGGCCTCTCTTCTGAAAGTAGTTGAAAAGTGTGGCCGATAAGGCCCATAGCCACAGGTCCAACTATACGGAGCTTTTCTCAGCACATTTGAAAATAAGACTCGCGGACTTTCGCGAAAAGCTGGGGGGGGGGGGGGCTCGCAAAACCTTCCATGTCAATTGCGGTCACATATGACGGCTCAAATGAGCTACCCAAACTTGATGCTTCTTTTTGGGGACAGTCCACGGTTTCGGGGCATCCAATTTCAGCACCAGGCTTGATGCAAGTTCTGCTTGGCTTGGATTAGCTGAGTACACACCACAGGAAGTGGCAGGCTGGGACTTTTCGATTCCCCCCCCCCCCCACTCGCACAGAATCAGTTTCACTTCAAAAAAACGGGCCTTTGATTAGTTGCCGCCTGCCCCAACAAGGGAGTATTTGCCTGGCAAAGCCAGATTGTCCAGGAAAGCCGGCATCTGGAGGGAGTCAGGGTTGTTCCTTGTTCTCATCTGAAGCACTCGACTGGCTTTTTTCTAACTCATGTGAGCTGGCAGAGTATTTTCCTGGACGTATTCTTAGTCTGGGGAGCAGAGGGGGTGTCTTGTTGTTCTCCCCGCCGAAATTCCTCGGGGCCGTTCCGCCCTTCTTCTTTTTCTTCGCCCAACGACAAATCCACCTTCACCCGTCCCATCATCGCTTTGTTCGCTGGGGCGATGTGTTCCGCCCTCTTTTTTTGTTCTTCGCCCGGCCCCAAAAAACCTTCACGACCAAACAAGTCTCGTCGATCGAGGAGTCCTGTGCGGACGGGTACTACCGCAACGGCACGGAGAAGGCCAACGGCTTCGATGCGAGGGAAGGGACCGTGCGAGCTTCTCTCAGCATGGGCTCGTGCGTCCTTTCAGATTGAACCCCCCGTGGCTTTGGGGAGTTTTTATTGGTTTCTCTTGAACCCCCCCCCCCCAAAAAGAAAAAAGCAATACCCTCAACAAACGGACAGCTGTAAACCCCCCCCCCCAACAAAAAAAAAGAAGAAGAACAGAAACAAAAAACAACAATATACCCTCAACAAACAGACAGCTGTTCGTTGGATGGGAAGCCAAAAGGAAGCCGTTGAAAAGAAGCGGGAAAAAACCGATGCCTCTTTGAGAAACACCCCGATGTGTCCAATGCGCCATCTTTTGGGCCATAGGCATAAGCAGAGGTTCTTTGGTAGGGGTGATGGTTTGAGGGGAAATATAGGAACCCCTGTGCCCAGAGCAACCTTTTGTTTCCTTTTTCAGCAGGAAGGGGCGAGTCCGGTAGAATCAACGGAGATGATTTGGGTTCCCGAGCCCAAAGGGAAACCGTTGAAGGGCGTCCTTTCCCATTCTGTTTGAGGGATCAACAAAATGGGCGAATCCCCCAGCGCTGAGAAAATTTGTGGTTTCTGCGGAGAACGACGGGTGCGGCCAAACAGCCCAAACCACTCCTGATTCGATTCGCAGTCTCGACTTCGGGACTCTTAAATGTCACATATTGAGTGGCCAAACATCCTCAAATTGGCTGCAATTTGCTGATGGGTCTTTCTTGTTTTTCTCACAGGAATTGGGGCGCAGGCCTTTGTGCAAATTCACCGGTCGCTTTTATATCAGACCAGCCATGAGGGCAATGGAGCCGTGAGGATGTCACTTTGGGCCCTGGGCCCTGTCTCTCACTCTGGGTACCTTCCCCCCCCCACGGGTGCGCAACGATTTCCATTTTGAGCCTCAAAAGAACAGAGACGCCCATTTGTAGAGGGATTGATTCATGAGGTATGCCGGAAATTGTTGTTTTGGTAGGGGATCGGTTTTCCACCCTCAGGATCCTGAGGCTAAAATGACAAACAAATGGGCCCCCAAATTCCATCAGGGCCATTCAGCCTTGCTCTTTGAGGGTGTCAACCCACGCAGAAGGACTCAGGCACTCGTCTGGAAGAATCAAATCTACACCACAAAGACTCGGCTGGTTCTCCGGGAACTGTTTTGGACAAAACCCGGAGTCCTTAAAATCTATGCGCCCTGAAGTATGACAAAGCGAGTGTACGGGTTCGTCAAAATTAGAGGCCCTTTTGGTATCGCCTTTGGCAGAACCAGGGCCAATGGGCCATATTTTGGACCCACATGCAGAGTGGGATGGCACGCTTTCGAACGCGGCGGTCACGGGAGGCCTTGATTTGGGTCTGTCTTTTGTTGTTACCTTACTTGGGGTTGGCAAGGGAAACTCCGCGGAATTTCCGAAGCCATTTTTGGGGGTTTACAGAGCTCGGTGGCGAAGCCAGCCATCCGGTTCAACGTAGCTTTCTAGATCCTGGTTTCCGAATTCAACCCACTAAAAGTTGGGGGATCTGAGTGCAGCCCAGAAAAGGGGCACCCAAACAAGACGAGCCATGGTTCAGTGAAGCTATGCCAGGCCAGTTAGTCACTGTTCGCGGAGCTGAAAACGGGCCCAGAGAAAGGGGAACCAACCGCTGCCCGGAGGTGGGCCGGAACTGCGCCCGCTGCCCGGAGAATGCCATGAAGTGCATCGGGCCCTCGTTGATCACCGCCGCTTGACATCGCGGCGGGGCGGGGCGGCCTCGAAGCGACCTTGTCGACCTTTGGGGTGTCCATGTTTGATCCGTGGGGTGTGCTTTCCTCAGGGAACCCTTTGTACCTTGGTTCAAAGGGAAACTCAAAGGGAGACCGAAGCCATTGTCACCGTCCACTATTCTGACACGGGCCCAGTTTTAGTGTCCCGAATAGTTAAGCCATGATTTCCAGGTCCTTTGGGCAGACATTCTCGATCACATGACCTCTGCCCTTCAGGTTTGTAGTTGAGGATGGATGCCCCTAGCCTCCCTAGCCTCCCTCCCACAAAAAACCGACAGAAGGTCTCCTGAGCCAACAATGGTCTTCCACAGTCCAGACATCCTGACCAAAGCCCAATGGAGCACTACAACATGTTATACAGAATCCAGAACTGCAGCTCCTTGCTGACGCCAACAGGGAGCTCTGCGACCTCCAATCAGGTTCTGCGCAGGTTCTTTGCACGCCTTGGAAGGGCGCGGCTGAAAATTGGTGAGTTCCTGGGACCCCACAGGGCCGGTCTTTTGGATCTTCGCCGCCTTTGACCGAACAAAGATGGCCAGGGTACCATCAAACGATTGATTTCGGTCTCGGGGACCCATGATGAAAGCTCTTTTCACCAGGTTTGGGTTTCCCCACCTCGTTTGGGTTTAGTGATTGGTGAATTCATTGCAACTTACCCAGAAGTGTATGGGTGTGGCTTTTTCTAGGGGACCCCCCAAAAGTTTAAAAGCGGTGGTGTTCTTCTTGCTTTTCCGTTAAACCAACCCCAAACGGGGACCCTCCCAAAGAGACCGACCAGCCCTGGGCCAAGGAATGCCGAGATTGGCAGTACCTCACCCCGGATGGCACTTGCCAACCCAGTTGTCCAGAAGGCGGGCAATTCTTTTTTTCTTTCCCAAGTGCGCTGTGTGGAGGCATATTGCAAAGCCTTTTTGACACACAAGGCAGGGCATAGTTCCCTACGCCTTCTTTTGCTTACACGGCTTTGCCAGCTTTTGGCTGACCTTGCCTCTGCCAAACTTGACCGCTTCACACAGCACACACTGCTTCTTGCCTGGGTTGATATTGCCAAACCGCTGGAAAACAGGGTTGAGAAAGGTCAGCAAGGTGCGTTGCCTTGCGAGATTTCGTTGCGCGTGGCTGGTGGAAGCTGGAGAAGTAGCCTGGAGGATTGGTTCTACCTGATGAGCGCTGATGCTGTTTTGTAGTTGAGCCGCGATGCCGGGCGAACTGAGAAGCCCGACAAGGGAATTCCATAAAGAAATCAATCGACTTGGAGCTTGTACCACAAGAGGTTCTCCCTTGCTACCTGTGCAGAGGTTTGCTTGAAGCCAAACAAGACTTCTCCCGTCCTTTGAAGCCCTCCTGGTTTGAGATGAACCCAACGGCCAACGGCCAACAAACGAATCGCACCAATCAGCGAGTTCCACCAACCCCAAACCAACCGGTCAAACCCAAAAGACAGCACGACTACCAATCAAGCCAGATAGAAACAGTGCAGACCAGCTATGCAAACAACAAGTGAGAATGGCCAAACAACAGGGGCCCTTGGGAATATGTGTTTTTAGGGATCAAATGATAGGTTGTGCCAAAATAGGGGACCCTACAAATCGTTGTTTTTAAGTTGATTCCTCCTTTTTGAGTTACCTCGAGGATATTTTTTCGGAAGCAAGGCCAGGTGGTCCGGCTGGATACCTCAACCCTGCCCCAAAAAGCACCTCTAGGGGTTACAATTCCTACTTTGAGACGAACCCGCAAAACCTGGGTTTAGGGTACGTGAAAGGAACATGTGAATCCACCCCCAACGGAAAACAAAAACAACCAAATATAATCCCATAGGCTATAATTTCAGTTTTCCTTTGGGGGTAGTGTGGTGGGGGTACCACATGTTTGTGGAACATGAGAGGTGGACCACTTGGTTTCTTGAAAAAATGGTTGCTTGGGGGGGTGTCTTCATTGAGGGGCCCAAAATGGTGGTTTCCTTTGTGGTCTCCCTTCAAAACAACCACCAAAATGGTACTCTCAACAGTAAAACACACATGATACATATATATATATATACAATATACCAAGTGTATATGCATGGATGTGTACAAAGACACGACCATCTTGTATATACAAATATATCTCTCTATCTATATATATATATATATATATGTGTTTGTACATATACTATACGCATGGATGCACCAGGAACCCGTAGACAGAAACCGTTTCAGCCGCTCGAGGCACTTACCCCGAGGGCACCGGCTCGGTGGGCCGGCGCTGCGAGATCTGCGGGGCGGACTGCGTGAAGTGCTCCAAGGGCAACGTGTGCCAGAAGTGCCGCAACGGCGCCCCGGGCATTGAAGCGGAATCGGAGTCTGCTGGGGCTGGGTGGGGGGAAAGGAGGGGGAAGGAGGGGAGGGGGTTTGTGTCAGCGTGTGGGGGGGGCTGTGCGTGGGGCTGTGGGGCTGTAGGGAAAGTAGCGGGGGGGGGAAAGTCTGAGGGGTTGTTTTTTTTGTGGGGGGGCAGGGGGGGGTGGAAGGGGTCGGGGGGGCGGGGGGGGGGGATGGGGGGGGGGGGGGTAGGGGGGGTGGGGGGGGGGGGAGTTATGGGGGGGGTGGGGGGGGGAGTGTTGGGGGGGGGGGGTTGGGGGTTGGGGGGGGGGAGGGGGGGGGGGGGTTCGCTCGACAGACCGCGGACCAAGAGGAAACTTAGACCTGGCCATAGATTTGCTCAAGGCATGTCCAAGTTCCCGTACCTTCCATTTGCTGAAATGTTTTTGTTGTTTTTTTCTCCCCTTGTTGGTTTTAAAGGGGATCTATCACTGGACATGTCTTCTCATTGTTTCCAGGTGAAAGCGCCAATGTAAGATGCTCGTTTTGGTCAGCGTCTTGTTACACTTTTAAGTCGACGCATCGAGGATCCCTGCCCTAAGAATGGAATTGGGGGAGGTGTTTTTCGCGTGGAGATGTCCATTCGTTTCATTTCCCCATGACTTTAGGCGGCTGTTTTTCTCTTGATTTGTCGATGAGGCACTGTTTTGACATGATGCTACGCTGTGAGGTCTATGAAATGAGCAGCGTCTGTTTCTCGGTAGGAGCAAGCGCTGAGGTGGTTTGCTGTTGTCCCTTGAGGCGGCGATGGCTGGCCAATGTTTGCGTGATACTTGTTAGTTTTCCTCTTTTGGGGAATTTCAACACGGCTTGGGTCATTTTGAGATTAGTTAAAACCCTTTTTGATGGGTTTGTGGGGAGCGATGTGTGATCCTTTCATAGGATTCCAACCATAGTTCATGGAAGCCCGGGTTCAAAAAGTCGAACATGCCAGGTTTGTTAAGCGAAGGATTTCCTCTTTATTGTGACACTGCCCCCCATCAAGCAGGGGTTTAGTACTGACGGCCCAAGATTTCAACGGCTGTTGTAGATGTCACAGTCCCACAGTCGGGGCTCTTGTTCTCTCAAAAAATCCCAGGCTGGGTTCACAACAGGCGAAACCAAGCCTTTTGGGGTCTCGCGAATGTTGAGTGACTTGTCAGTGCGAAAGATCGAGTTGGGAAGTGGCTGTGGGTCAACACCAATGGTACCATTTTGGGGTTTTAGGTGCACCACCCATTTTAGAACCTATTTTAGTGGGGATTGGGTCAGGTTCACTGGGGGTACGGGCTTTGGGTTTCGACCCATGGCCAAGTGACCTTGAACTTGCCTTGGCATCGCAGGATGAGGCGCCCCCCAAATGGATTTGGCGGGGCAAAACGGCGGCCCAAATGGGGGGGGGGGTTGGGGTGGTGCACGTCTGGCTTTTTTTTGAGGTTTTGAATGGATCTCACTTTCAAGTTCTCAGCCAATCACTTGCCTCACCGTTCCTTTCACCTTATCCAATTTGACTTTGGGCTTCGATTTTATAGGGTTGCGTTGAAGGAAATGGCCCCAAAGCACCCTAAGTAAGCTGTTTTCCCGCATACATTTCCAGTAACCCAACCCTTTAACAATAAGATCGCGGCTCTGTGAGGCAAGTTCCTGACCCCCGACTTCTGGTGCGAGGCCGCGTGCCCTGACGGCACCTTCAAGAATGGCACAGGAGCGGCCACCGCGAAGTCGCGTTCCGCCGCGAAAATGTGAAATACCTGTTTGTGTTTCCTTCCGCGAGGAACGTGAGGAACACTTTTTTTTTGGTCAAGTGGGATAGGGATAGGTACGCTTTTGGTTTTCTTCGTTTGTATTTTTCTCGGGTGGGATGGGCTTCTTTTAAGCTGTTCTTGGGTTACAGTTCTGCTCTTTTGGACTTCAAAGGGTGAGCACAACAGAAAGGTCGATAATTGATCAGGGCTCCTTAAAAGGTACGTTTTGCCCATTTGAAACACGGCTTTTTCCGCCAAAATAAAGGGACACCACCATTTAATTACAAGGCAATGTTCAGGTGTATAATGTAAGGATCCCTGTTGGTTTGGCATCCTTTAGTTGCCAAGTAACCCTTCTGCCAGGTCTTTTCACAAATCCTGTATGGTGTTGCCAGGCACTGGGTGCAAGTAAAAAATGCGTCGAGACGAGGCAGGGTTACTAGAAGTAGGTTGATCGGTCCCCGCAAAAAAACAAAAAAACATGTTCGGTATTCCAAGAGTTGATTCCCAGTTATTGTTCCACATGTTGTATTCCAAGGGTTGTTCCGACACCACCCATTCCCAATGTGCGTTGGAAAGCTGGTTTTCTGAAGAGAAGGATCCTTTTTCTCAGAACGGAGCAGGGTACGGCGGTATGTGGGCGTGTCTTTTTTAGGGGACCCCCCAGAATGTTTTTGTTTTTGATTTCCCTGTAAAACAACCAACAAGAAATTCCCTCAAAACCTCATGCACCCATGTACGTTTCTTGACTGAACCCAGAAGGCCAGCATGTTTAGAGAATCTCCTTTCAGGGAGTTCCACGTTAGTTTGTAGCGGAGATAGCCTTTTTCGCCTGATCTAATGGGTTGCTTTACCAAAAACAAGAGTGCCTTTTCTCCAGGGTTGTGGGATCAAGGGGTTTCTCCAACCACTTCTGTGATACAAGGGAATCCCCCTTTGAATCAACAAAATAGTCTTTGGGAAGTGGTCATTCCCCACAGCCCTGCTTTTCTTCAATGGCCACTAGAAGGCTGGAATTGGCACTCAGAAAAACGTCAGTTTTCCTTCGTGCCGGGCGTCAAAGACCCGCCCAACAGCGGGCGGTCCAGTGTTTGCAGATAGTCATTATCAAGGGCATTTTAACTTGACTGGTACTGGGTTGGCTCTTTAGACTTTAACTTTTTGGGAAATCAAGGGGTTTTCCACTAAACCCACAAAAAGTGAAGCTTTTTGCAGGGGGTCAACAGCAACCAAGTCCTAATCCGCTTATTCAAGTGGACAGTAACTTCCACACCTTCAAACAGCCCACCCGAAAATGCCCTCAAGCCCAGCTAGGGAACACCGCAATTAGCAAACTCGTGTGGAGAGAAGAAGCTTATCCTAGGTGAACATGCCCTTGATCATAACACTCCTTCATTGTAGATTTCGGGGTTGATCAAAAGGTCCTTTATACGACCATTGGTTGGAGAACCACTTGGGAACATGTTTGCTACTTCCCCATATAGGCAAAGTTCCCTGTGGTCAAGACTGCGGGCCTTTAAGGGAATATTGAGCAACCCCCATATGGGGGTCAAAATCCCGTACTCCCAGTGAACATCCCAATCCCCACCTTCATAGGTTCTAAAATGGGTGGTGCACCTACCCCAAAATGGGATCCCATTGGTGTTGACCCACAGCCATATAAGCCCCGGATGGCCAGAGTTCGCGGGTACCTTCCAACCATTCTTTCCAGGGATCCTTCTTTTCAGGAAACCATCAAAAACCCAGGGGAAACGGATCCGGTTTTTGAAAAGAACGATGGTTGACAAGAATGGAAGAGGAATCAACCCCTAGATTAATCGGTGATTCGGTTTGATTGGATTGGTGGTTTGGAGTTGGAAACTCTTCCTTTTGAAGCCAAATGGGGAACGTACCTCCGAACGTTTCCTCCGAAAGCCAAATGGGGAATTAATCACCCCCTAGATATATGGGTGACTCGCCTTCTTTTTGTTTGGGGCAACCAAAACAGAAGAGGAACTGCCGAAGCTGTGGGGAAGAGGAATCAACCCCTAGAACTTCCGGCAAGGAGCTGTGGGGAAGACCTGTGATCCCTGCCCGGAGAACATGGCGGCCTGCATCCGCCCCACCTATGCCGCTCGCATATAGAGACGGAAGGGCCGGGTTTGACGAGTTTCTGGGGGTCAAAGTCTGTGGTCAAAGTCAGAAAGTCGCAGAGGACACTCTGACCTCCTCAAAAACAGAAACTGGGGGTTATCAAATGGGGTTTTCGAATTTTGTTGTTTCCCTTTATCCTACCACTTGGTGGTGGGGAGATAATGAATGTTTCCGTCCACTGGTTTGGGGAGGACTTGCGGGGACCACCCAAGTACCCACAAACGCAAGGGCCTGCCACCATCAAATTTTCCCGTGTCTGCGTGCTTGTTTTTTTTGTTCTTCTCCTGCCCTGTCTGGGCAAAAAGTCGCGAGCTCACCGATCTGGGGCCCGTGTTTTGTTCGGCCTCTACGGTAAACGCTTCGCGCTGCCCGCTTTTGGGGGCGATTTGGTTTGGAGGCTTCCTTTGATCTCCGTTCATTCCTCCGGGGGAAGGCGCGGGGAGGCTAGGCAGCTGGCGAGAAGCGACGTTCATGCCTGACCGTGGTTGAAAGCAGCTGCGTGAAAGCACCCGCTTAGCAGTGCAGCCACAGCCGGAGTCCAAGCGCAAGGGAGCTCAGGCAATTGGATTAGGAGGCCGGGAAGAAGGATTTGACAGGTTTGCCCAGGCGAGCGGCTGACTTGGCCAGCCCAGCCACCCAGTCAGGCCAGCCCTCACCCCTGCCCACACGGTCGGGGAAAATGTGGTTTGACAAGCATTTAGGAAGGCTCTGACCGGTTGGGGGGCTCGCTTCAAACCAGCTGGAGGCAGTCGGCACATGGATTTGGGCCGCGCAGCATGGGTTGGTTCGGTAATTTCATTCGGGGGCAACGTTTCCCTGAGCTCTGGACTTCGTACTGTTTGGGACGACCATAGCGGCAAACAAACAAATCAATTGGACCTTTGGCAAAAGTCAGAAACCAACTGTAGACGATCGCTTTGCTGTCACTTGTCTAAGGTGGTTTTCACTACCCCCAAACCACTACCATGGGAGATCGGGGGTATACACCCTAAGTGGCCGTATCTCCCATACTCTCGAGTAGTTCAAACAAGAAGTTGTGTATTTGTTTGACAAGGAGCCACCTCACAAGTTGGCAAGAATCCCCACCAGGCCAGGATGTCCACTTTTCTGGTATGTGCCAAACATTGGTATTTTGCTTCTCGATATCCAAGGCCACAGAGTGCAAGAACTCCAAGTACCTCACGCCGCGCGCCACCTGTGAGGACGCGTGCCCCCACGGCCACCCGGCCTCAGACAAGCCACGCCCAAAGCCGGGGAACCAAAAGCCTGGGCACGGCGCGCTTACTGCCGGGGGTGAAGAAAAGGCTTGGCTCAACAACCAGGTTCCTGGACTTTAGTCACGTTTACAAAGAAACATGTTCGTGGTAAACAGAAAGGTTGGTTACTTTATTGGGCCATCCACGCAGGAGGTGAGCCAAGTCCTTTCGTGTTTAAGGGGGGGCTGGATGTACACGGTTCAGGGTTGTTCGGAGTCCACCAATGCACATCTTGCTTCCGGGGACCTGTTCGGCAAGATTCTCCCCGGTGCCAGTCACATCCAGTCACCACACTTTGGGTCTAAATGCCAAGAACAAGGTCAACTTTCGCAGTTACGGGTCTTGAACCGCTGGCTTCAAAGCCAGGCTACTTCCCAAAAGGCGACGGCGAGGTTGGGCGCCACTGCCCGCAGTGCCATGACCGGGCTCGGCAGTTGGGTGGGAAGGGGTGTGGGAAGGGGTTGAGTCTGCAAAACCGCCGTTCTTTGTGTCCAAGCCACGCCCGAAGCCGAGATTGGATTCTCCCCAAGGCTGGCTTCAGGTATTGATTGTGCCACGGGCGTTGCCATGTTTGGTTGGTGAGCAAGCCCTAGCCTTGGGTTTGGCATTTGCTTTCAAGCTTTCAAGCGCACCGCGACAAAGGCCATGGAACTCAGACGTGGCAGGTCCCTTTTCAAGGGCTCAGACTGATTCTGTACGGGGTCGGAATCAGAAGCTCCGGCGCCGCCCGCCCCCTGAGTGGTTGGGCTGGGGTGCGCCTGCGGCCGGCTTCGTTTGATCTGAGCCACGAGTGCTTTAATACTGTGGATGGACGAAATCCTGCACCACCTAAGCAACCCCGGAATGATTATTTCCTTGTACATGGCAGCAAACAATGGTTGCCCATGGTTTCCAAGTGGTGCAGGATTTGTCCATCCACAGGATGGCAGTGATGATTCCTGCGACAGGGGATGGTCAACATAGCCAGTCTATGGTCTGTTTGGGAGGCACATGTGGGATAGTTTAATTAGCCACGTCCATGGAGGGTATAGCAAAGTTTTCCCATGGCGCATGTGTTTTGTGATGATGCTGATTGGTGAAGATGGCTGAATATGAAAGGCCCACTGCTGGGTTTTGTTGGGACTGACGGGAGTGGCCAACCCATTTTCTAGCGCCCAATACGACAGGCCGTTCCTTCAGCTAGAGCCAAGATTAAGAGTACGCTTGCCAAGCTTGAAAGACCACTCTCACCCCCTTATCTACGATATCTACTGCAATTCTGCTTCTTCTTCTTCTTCTTCTTCTTGTTTTTCTTCTGCTTGTTTTTCTTCTTCCTCCTCCTCCTCCTCCTTCTTCTTCTTAGTCCTCATCTTCTTCGTCGTCCGCTTCTTCGTCTTCATCTTCCCCTCCTCCTCCTCCTCCTCCTTCTCCATCGTGCACCTCCACTTCGCGCGGTTCAGCCCGCTGTGGCCGGTCTGTTCCGGGGGGGGGGGGGGCTTGTTGCCAGGGAGAAAAATGGCGCGACCCCCGCAAAAAGGAACTCCTTCACTACCTCTGCTGCTATTGGGTTGGATCTTTAGACTTTAACTTTTTGGAGTTTTCCGCAGATTTCCCTTTTCACCGGCAAGAAGTTAAACTTTCTGCTAGGGGATCTACAGCACCTTTGCAAGGGGGTCGATCATTCCAAAGGTGGCAAAAAGACCCCCCTGGTTCCGGGAGCTTCGGAGCTACGAGCACATCGGGGGGTCTGCACAGCAGCAAGATGTAAATGACCGCACAAGGCAGACGCATTTTCTGCAAAGAATTTCCAAGAGAAGAGCCCAACTGTTCCCGATTCCCGACCAAAGTATGTCGCCTAAAAAATCGCGTATCGAATTCCTCCAATCCGTTTGACATGGGAGAAGTTGAGGTCCGTGCCTGCTAGCGGTTTATTCCTTCGTGCTCAGTTTCTAAGATACACGATTTTTGGGGCATGGGTCAAAAAATGAAACCGCCAGGAATTAGACCGCAGGTTTTAGTCCTTTTCATTTACCAAAACAACTCATTCTGAGGTTACCGTATTTTTGACCCACACCCAAAACTGTTTGAGAAGATCATTGCAATGAAAAACGAAGAGTTTGACTTTTCCAACCAACTTCTTTGTCCTTGTTTCCATTTACCAGGGTGCCCATTTTGGCTCCACAGCCAAACTGCCCGGCGCCCTCTCAACTGAGTTCCGGGCGCGCATGTTTTTCGTCGCCGGGCGTGCAGGACGACTGCTACTCCTGCTC